AAAAAAACGATCTCAAGCTGATGACGCTGCCGTGAGAGGTTTGGCACGACATGCAGCAGCACCGTCTCAGTCTCTGTCTGGCGCGGGTGAACTCATTATACCTCACCTTTATATTTCTTCATTAAATAACTTATATTACGTATTTTTACTTGTTAAAGTAATTTGAAAACCTTGTGTGAGACGTAATTTCACAAACAGCATGAGTGAATCACCGCGCACGCTCTCTCTTTCTCTCTCAAAATACGCAAATGACTTCAAATCACCACATCGCGTCTATAAGCGAGCTACAGGCTGCACAGTTGACACAGGAATCACTTGCACAATCGAGGCAGTGTCACATCGTCACTAAAGTTTATAAATTGCATTACTTTTTAATTCTTGCCAGTGTTTAACCATTCAGCGCTCTCGCGCTCTCCTGGAAACCGAGCGCTCATGGACACTCGCTGCGCACACACATAATGGCAAGTTCACATTACTCCGTTTGCAGTGCGTTTGTGGTGCGTATTTTTTCAGCGCTCATGTTAACGGATTAAAGCATTCACATTGCACATGGTTGTGGTCTGGCAGTGCGTTCAGGAGCGGTGTAGGATTGTTTCCGCACCGAGTCTATTTTTGCTGCGCTGCAAGCCTGAATTAAAGTGACAGCGCATTGTTTGCTGTAAATATGAAAATGAAAATGTAGCAACTGCACCATAAATGCATATAATTAAAGTATACTGTCTTTCACAGTCAACACATATGGCTTGTTGGCTAGTTTTAAAGGAAAAGAGCACTTTTAGATAAACAGGCAATAATAGATGGCACTCGTGGAGGTAGGAAAACAAAGTTCTTTATGAACCGCAAGATTGCTTGTAATAAAGAATTAAATGCAAAAGAAAAGGCAGTAGAGCTGACTATTTCTGTCAATGGTAAGTTTGTGATAACGTAAGAGAAGTAGTTTAAATGTTTTGCCACTTGCTTGAGCAACTTAATATATAAATCTAGAAGTAAATGCAACAGTAAAAAGCATTGAATGATGTGTTGCTTATATTTATTGAGTTTAAACATGTCTGTGAAAGATTGTATTACTGTACTGTGTAAAAAAAACAATTGCAATGCTGGAAAAGCATTTTCAGTGACAATGTTTGGATTTGAAATCAAAATAATGGATAAATGTTGTGTTTGTGGTAAACAGCCATGATTCAGTAGTGGACTCCTGTGTGAAAGCTGCTTCTCCTCTCACAAGAGTCACCTAAGAGGGGAATTCCCCCCCATTTTCAATAATGAAGTTCAGGCCCTGAATAAATGTCTAAAAATCCTGATTGGTGTATCACTATAAATAGTTATAAATGATAAAAAGAAGGCTTTAAAAAGATCGGTATCGTGATCGGTATCGGCAGATACTGCTTTCAGTGATCGGCGATCGGTGATCGGCCTCAAAAATCCTGATCGGAGCACCCCTACAAACTGTATATAGCCTACCACCCAGCCCTAGTGTTTGCAAAGTACTTTTGAATCCGATTAAGAAAGTAGTGAGATTCAAGGGTTTACATGGCTAAAATGTTCATATTAAACAGATTATTTACGATTTAATTTCGATTGAAATTTCAATCAGTTCACATGAATCATCAATCTGATTATAAAGGAATTATTAAGGTTGCATGTGAATGCACCCACGGTACTGTTTAGCATTCAACACCCTTGCTCTTGTTTCACTGGAATTTGTCTTATCGAAGTGTTACATAAATGACATTTACAACAACATTTTAAATATCTTCACATAGTCATCACTGACAGTATCTTGGCTTCAGGGTCAGATGGAT